ATTTTGTAGTATGGATGAAGAAGATATCCACCACATACGCACAGTCGCATTTACCCTTACCTTATTGTATTATTACCATCTCAAATACGTTGACCGAAACCCATGTATGACTTCAACTCAAGTAGGAGACAGATGGGTTGGTGAGTTATTACGGGGTCATCCAACACGGTTCTTTAATATATTCCTTAAGACACAAGAAATATTTCATGATCTTCTAAATGAACTCCGGATCAATCATGAGTTTCACGCCTCTGCAAGAACAATCCCAAGGGAAGTGCTTGCAATAACTTTGAATCAATTAGAGGTGCTATGGAGCGTTTCCAACATTCATCTGAAACCATTAGCCGATATTTCTCAGTCGGCTTGAACTCACTTGTTAGTTTGGCCCAGAAGGTAATAAAGCCTGAGGATCCAACGTTCAATTCAATTCCTTTACAAATTGCAAATGACCCCCGGTACATGCCATTTTTTAAGGTCTGTCTTTTACCATTACACTCATCCTTCTACTTTTATTATATTTCAGCTTATAAAAAATTATATTTGTAATTCCAGGATTGCATTGGAGCTATTGATGGAACACACGTCGATGCACGATTAAATAGTGAAGAAAGAGTTGCGTACATAGGTCGATGCGGCGCCCCAACACAAAATGTTATGGCCGTATGTGATTTCAATATGTGCTTTACTTTTGTCATGGCTGGATGGGAAGGAAGCGCTCATGATAGTCGTGTTTTCAAGTTCGCTACCAAAAACTTCAGACATGGATTTCCGTACCCACCTCTGGGTAAATACGGTAAATACTATTTGGTTGATGCTGGATATCCATTACAAATGGGATATCTAAAGCCCTATCCAGATACAAAGTATCATATTCCTGATTTTGAAAGATCTAGTGATGTCGCACGAGGCAAAAAAAAAGCTTTTAACAAAAGACACTCTTCATTGTGCGGCGTAATTGAAAGAGCGTTCGGAGTGTGGAAGAAGAAGTGGGTCATATTACGGGATATGACGTCATACCCTTTTCCAAAGCAAGTACAAATAGTTGTTGCCTCAATGGCGCTACACAATTTCATCAGACGCCACCACAGATCGGATACGGAGTTTGCCATTTTAGAAGATGATTCAGTTCAAATCCCACCTGAAGCATTTGAATATTATGTGGGACGTTTAATACATGAAAAGTTTGGTTCAGAAGATGCATGCACTTGAGAGGGTGAAGGTGCATCAGAGATGACGACTTTACGAGAACAAATAGCAGATGATATCAGCCGGTCATGATATCAGCAAAGGCATAAAATACATGTTGTTAATTGGAAAGCTTTAAATACTTGTTTTGTTAGTTTGTGTGTAACGGTTTTTACTTTGGTTTGTCACTGCAGTATCGGTTTCTACTCTGGTTTAAATGGAAAAAATATTAGTTGTTAATTGGAAAGCTTTAAATGATTCCTATTGAAAATTTTTTGCTCCCTAAGAATGCAGAAATATGTGTTGCTTGAAGTTCTTTGCAAGGAAAATTTGATTTGGAAAAATGAAAACATAATTTCAGTTTTTATCAATATGAAATTGATTTTGAAAAGTCTTTAAACAAACTTCAAAAGAAAGTGTATTTTTTTTATTTAATGAAATATGTGGAAAAAAATTGCATCTAAAAAATTGTTTAGACTAATTATGCAAGAGTTGTTTTAGCTAATTACCATGACCTCGGGTTTTGATTTTCCTTGCTTGCGCTTGATTTCAAGGTTTTAAAATAAATGGAAAGTGTAGT